TTTTCAACCTCCACTCTTTTGTCTAGGAAGGACCAAAACTTGGAATATTTGATCCAAAATGTTTGATCAGGATTTTATATTTTGACATGAGTTTAGATGTAAGGAAAAGTTGCAAGAGTAGTTACAGGGATTCAGGACATTTAGACCTCAGTGGTTAGGTCTGGAATATATGGAATGGCTGTTTTTTACCTTCACTCAGATTTCTCAAAAATAAACATTCTATCACTTAAATTCTTTCTCACCTTCAATGTAGTTTTTTTTTCCCCCTCGAAGTATTTGAGAATAAATCATAGTAAATATATACTGTCCCAAAGTTGCAACCAAGGCCCTATCAACTTTGTACCTATCATTACCCTTATGGCCCTTTGTCCCTAAATATATTTTTTTTAATCCCTAAATATTTTTATGTTTCCTAAAACCAAAGACATTCTAGTAGGGGCCTCCCTGGTGGCACAAGGGGTTAAAGCACAGAACTATACAGCTGCAGCCACTGCAGCATGACTTCAATCCCTAGCCCTAGCCATGGAGCTGACCCACATGGTGCAGCAGACCTCTCTTGTCTCACCCACTGCTCTTCCCAGCAGTGTATTTAAGTCAGTCTTCCTGTTCTGCTCCCCATTCTGTTTCTGGTGAATCTTTTCAGCCCCCACACCTCTGGCCTTGTATGCATAAATAAATAAATATTAAAAAAGAGAATTCTCAAAAGCAGAAAATTCACATTAATACTACTATCCAGTTTACAGAATTTATTCAAATTTTGAAAATTGTCCTTAATGTCATTTAAAGCAATAGAAAATCTTGGATTACATATTAAATTATCCAATTGCCGTATCTTCGAGAGCTCTTTCATCATAATGACATTTTTTAAGATTACAGGCCAGATGTTGGCATAATGTCCATCATTTGAGGTTTCCTGTATTTTCTCATGGTTAGATTTAGATTATGCATTTTTTGGTGGGACTCTCACAAACATAATACTTTGCATTCTTCTGATATGCACTTACATTAGAGCCATATTAGGAGATATAGGAAGTTAATTTATCCTATTATCAGTTATGTTACTTGGATCACTTGGTTAAATAGTCTATAAGAGTCTATCATGTTTTTTCCACCATACAAGTAATGTTTTTCTTTTTGCAATTATTAAGTATCACTTATGAAGACATAAATATCCAATTACTCATCAACTTTTATCCTCTAGTTTTCTTTGATGACCCTTCCCTAAATCAGTGATCTCTGTGATGATTTCAAATGATAAGTAATTCCTCTTTCTACAGTTAAGGATGATCACTCCCTTCTCTCCCAGTATTAACTCTCTCTGTGGATTATTTTATTAAATTAATTATAATTGTGTTATAATTTTGTGTTCAAAATGGCCCACATAGTACAGGGATTTCTCCTAATCTCAGTTTTAATGATTTAGGGCAAGATTCTCTCTTTTGGCCTTAGATTTCTCATCTGTAGGATGTAGGTGAGCACTTGGGGCTACAGGGGTGATTGACTGAAATGCATGCAGGCTCCCAAATCTCAGCCATAATTGGGTGATTTCAGGACAGTCTAACTATTTCATGGTGTTTTTTGTTCTCCTTTCCTAGGCATCCAGGGAATTGTGGATGCCTACCGCCAAGCCCTGCCTCAAGTTCGTCTCTATGGCCCCACTAACTTTGCACCCATCATCAACCATGTGGCCAGGTTTGCAGCACAGGCTGCACATCAAAAGAGTGCCTCGGTGAGGCTTATAGAAGGTGATGTGGGGTGGGCTCAGTCAAGGGTTGTGTAGCAAGAGATTTCTTGTCAGTATGGACATGTGAAATATTCAGAGGGTCAACTTCAGTATATCTGTGGGCTTGCTCCCAGCAATACTTCGTGCTGTTGCTGTTGACTGATGGTGCCGTGACAGATGTTGAAGCCACACGTGAGGCTGTGGTTCGTGCTTCCCATCTACCCATGTCAGTGATCATCATCGGTGTGGGTGGTGCTGACTTTGAGGCCATGGAACAGCTGGATGCTGATGGTGGACCCCTGCGTACACGTACCGGGGAAGCAGCAGCACGTGACATAGTGCAATTTGTGCCTTATCGACGCTTTCAGAAAGTGAGTAGGGGCAAACCTGGGAAGACCAGACCTGGAGTTTACTCTTCCACCTCTTCCTGATGTGAGCACATCTGGTCATGAGATGTAGACCTTGGGAAACTACAGTGGATCATCACTGATCTTGCCCCTGTTTTCTCCTATCAGGCCCCTCGAGAGGCATTAGCACAGACTGTGCTTGCAGAAGTACCTGTGCAACTGGTCTCCTACTTCAAGGCCCAAGGATGGGCCCCATTTAAGCCACTTCCACGTCCAGCTAAGGACCCTGCGTAGGCCTCCCTGGCCTAGATTCCGGTGATAAGCTATGGTCAGTCTTAGCCCTGTGTTCCCAAGGGTGATCTATGCCATGGCTCAGTCCTGCACATGCTCCTCCGTGCTAGCACTTTATATTTTATACTTTTATACTTGTCCCTGCTGTTGCTGCTTTTGATCCCACCTGCTGTTCCTGTTCTTCCTGCTCTTCAATAAAAATGAAGACCACAATTTGACCAGTATTCTGTTTTTTTGAATGGGAAGCTGTTATTAGCCATGTTTACTTCTCTCTGAGCCTTAGTTTGTTGATCTTAGGGTTTGTTGAGTGAAGCATGGATGCCTCTATCATAATAGCCCCTATCAAAGAATTGGAGATTTCTAGCCTGATATTTAGAAACTATTTTTGAAAATAGAAATTAATTTAATATTAAACACCACACATAGCCTACCCTGCCTCAGTGCAGCACTTAGCTGGGAATATCAACAAAGTAGAAAGTGGTAGGAAAGGGATGAGGGTTGTTTTTTTTTCTTTTTAAAGATTTATATAGGCATACAAGAACTGGGGTATAGGCCAGAGGTATTGCAAGTGAAAGGATTCACCAGAGACAGAACAGGCAAATCTACTGAAGTACACTGCTGAAGTGAGCAGCAGGTGAGACAAGAGAGGTCTGCTGTGCCAAGTGGGTCAACTCCCTGGCTGGGGGTTGAACTCATGCTGCAGTGGCTATGGATAACTTCATAGTGCTGAAACTTAACCCTTTGCACCATTAGGGACGCCCCAGGAAGGGATGAATTTTAAGATAAAGGACTAAGTTGGATTCTTAGAGCAGGAAGCATTGGTGATTCTAGCCCTAAAAATAGGCTCTAAGAACAGCTATTCTTTCCTTTTACTAGAAAATGTATATATTCATGGTAAAAAGAAAATGCAGAAAAATATCACCCAAACTGTTGTGTTCCAATAACATACTTGGTACACTTTTTAAAAAATATTTCTTTATGGGCCTTCCCTGGTGGCACAGTGGGTTAAAGCACAGCACTATGCAGCTATTACAGCCACTGCAGCTGGAGTTCCCCGGAGATTCCCCGCCAAGGAGGTGATCCGCATGGCGCGGCAAACCTCTACTGACCCGCCCGCTGCTTCCTCAGCAGTGTATTTCAGTACATCTGCTTGTTCTGTGCCCTACTCTGTCTCGGGTGAATCTTCTTACCCCCTGCACTTTTAGCCTATACCCCAGTTCTGTATGAATAAATAAATCTTTAAAAAAATTTTCTTTATGCATATATAAGCTGGGGTATAGGCCAGAGGTGTGAGGGTGGGTGAGAGAATTCACCAGAGAGACTGGGGAACATAACAAACAGACTGACTCAAATACACTGCTGAGGGAAGCAGCAGGCAAGACAGGGAAGGTCTATTGCACCATGTAGGTCAGCTCTCTGGCCAGGGATTGAATTTGTGTTGCAGTGGCTACAGATAGCTTCATAGTGCTGAGACTTAACCCCTTGTGCCACAGGAAGGTCCCTATATTTGGGGTGTCTTACCCATTGGAACTTATTGCTGACTTCATTTTTTAATGCCTATGTATTCTGTGTGTACTGCCTCTATTTAGCCAATCTTTTGTTAGAATTTGAGTACATTCTAGTTTTGTTTTATTGTAAATAGTGTTATAGTGAATATTCTTATACATCTATCTGTGCATTTACAGAGATGTTCCTAGAAGTGGAAATACTAAAATGTGAATATTTAAAATTTGAATACATAATGTAAATTACCCTCAATCCACAAGAACAGCTTTTTTACCCTTTGGGTAAAGTCACATTTTTAGTTTGAATTTAATTGTGAAGGCTAGATGCCATTTCATGCTTATTTCATATATATTTGTTTTGGAAAGGCTGTAAGTTGTCAGTATAGCCTTCATTCTGTCAGATACTAATTCCTTGTCTCCTGTAAATGTAAATATTTTCTCCCAGGCTACTGTCTTGTCATCTGTCATGTCTTTTGGTATACAGAACTCTTTTGATGTAGAAATTTAAATAAAATTTTTATGTATACTAATCAAAATGTTATGGTATACATTTGTATGTATGCATCGCTACATAATGCCAATGTATGCCATATTTCATTACCTTTCATGACATTAAACATTCCTTTATGACTTTCTGTTTGGTCACATTTTGGGGGCACAGTCTACTTAGTTATTTCCAGTTTTCTCCTTATAAGCAACAGAATATATTCAAAAGTATTATTTTTGAAGACATCTCTGTATTCTTTGGATTGAGTCTTAGAAATAGGATTGCTGTAATTAAAGACTATAAAAAATTTTAAGACTTGATTCCTCTTGTGAAACTGCCTGTTAGAAGAGCTGTATTAGTTTATATTTCTAACCTCAGGCTTTGAGAGCACTTGATAGAATCTTCCTTGTCTTCATATTACAAAAATAATCTTAGGGGCCTCCCTGGTGGCACAAGAGGTTAAGCCTCAGCAGTTATAAAGCTTTCAGCAGCTACTGCTGCACAAGTTCAATCCTGGCCAGCGAGGTGACCCACATGGTGCAACAGACCTTTCCTGTCTCATCCATTGCTCCCCTCAGCAGTGTATTTCAGTCAATCTGCATGTTCTGCTCCCCACTCTTGTCTCTGGTAAATCCTCTTCACCCTCCTCCACCTTTGGCCTGACCCCAATTCTTGTATGCATAAATAATCTTTAGAAAGAAAATCTTAAAATTTAGACAGATGGATATGTATAACCTACACACCTTCTACTTTCTATAGGTATAGCCACTATTAATAGTCTGTATACTTCCCCAAAACATGAACATTCTGGGAAGGAACCTAATAGCCAAGATACTTGTTTCTCATGTTGGTCCCCCTTTCTACCCTGTCCAGGGAGAATTATTAATCCTTTTATGCCTGTTTCCTTCATCTTTATTCTTCCAACTCTTATTTTCAATCCCTAGAATAAATAATTCCTGGATCCAGTAAATTGTCCTGTTTCCTGAAGTATCCTGTCCTCCCTTTCCTGTCAAACTCCTTTAGGGCAGGGTTTGATGAACATGAGATCACTTACACCTTGCAGAGTCAGGTATTCAGGTCTCAGAAAGATAGTCTGAGTAGGGCTACCCAAGGCCTGTATCATCAACTCTCAGTCACATGTTTCCTGAGTCAAAATCTGCAAGTCCTCTTTAGTTTCTGAGGGCTTATCAAAATAAAAGGGGTAATTCTCCCTCTTACTGTACCATGCAGGAGTTGGGCTTGTTCATAGATTGAGGAGGGTGCACAAGCATCACTACAACCTGACTAGCAGTTCTGCAGTTAAAGACAGCGGCCTCTGGGGGGAGGCAGGTATGGGGCCTACTGTAATGCTGCTCTTCACAAGCAAGAACAAGTTTTCTAACCTGAGCATTTCCTCCTTTATGGCTGTGAGAGTTAAGTAAGTAATGTATGTAATGTCCATAGCACTGTGTCTCTTGTACATGGTAAACATTTTATAAACATGAGCTGTGGCTACTGTATATTACTGGTCTCAACTTTCTCTAAGAGAAAGAGACTATACACTTATACCATGGACAACTAAAGCCCCCACAGAAACTCCCCCATCCGCCAGGGATTGCTCTAGCCTCTAGTCTTTAGCAAAAATCTCCATATCAATAATCAGCATGTTTAATGGGGCCCCCCTGTGGCACCATCCTCTGCCCCCTCTGAGATTCGCATGCCATGGGCTCGGACTCGATACAAACATGTGAAACGTGGATGGCCCCAGTTGCTTAGAATCTGGATCTTCACCTTGGGAAAGGCAGCTGGAGGGTCATTCTGGGGAGACAAATGGATCACCAATGTCTATTCTCCCAAGGGCTGCCTTTCTCCCCAGTCTTCCCGCACTGCCCCATTCCCTTAGTACCCTCACCTCCCCCACAACCACCCCAGACAAACCTGTAGGTGGAAAGTCTGAATCTCAGATTTCTCTACATCGAAGGTGAATTTCCCCAAGAAAACTTCAGTCTTGTCATCAACCTGGAGGCCCTGGTAGGTCAAGAGTTGGAGGAGGAAATATGAGGTAGAGGTGGAGGTAGGGAAAAAAGCAACTTTGGGAGAACTACAGTGTGTTCGTTCAATGGCTAAATGCATTTTTACATTTTTGGGTTTTTTTTAGCATTACGATAATGTAGTGTAGAATGTTGACAGAAACAAGCCAGTTTTCAAATTTTAGCTGATTGTTAGCTGGGTGACTGTGGGCAAGTAGTGCCCACTTTTTGAGCATTATTCCTTTCCAGTGGAGGAGGGGATAATGGATGTGCCAGCTTGTGTGGATGGAATGAAATAATCTTTGTAAAGTACTCAGTACAGAGTGAGCTTCAATAAACTCTAGTTTTTGGATTTCGTTATAACTTATAATAGCCCTGAGGGCAAGTACTAAAATCTCCACATTATAGAGCATATAAACAACTTGTTCTTTTGTGTGACTGCCTGGTTGTTTACAGGCAAAATCCCCACCTCGGCCTCAGTTCCACTCACATAGACTGAAAAGTCGCGTGGGGCGCTATTTGCTCCCCCAGAGTGTGCCACACTGGGCGGTGGATGCTGCAGGGTGACGTCGCTCAGCTGTACACGACCTGGCAGCCGGATTACCACCTGGCCCTGGTCACCTTCAAAAGCCCAGCAATTCCCAGGGAAGACATCTGGCTGCAGGTGAGCAGAGAGACCATTAAAACCTAAAGACAGCAACTCAGGACCCTTACCCAACTTGGGCTTTGGCTCAGATAGGCCAACCAACCCTCATTTCTATTCCTACCATGGTCCCCATCCAGTCCTCTACCCCATACCAGGCCCTACTCTGTCAGACCCTACACAGGGCTTGTCTCCAACACTGTTTAGGTCTCTCTTTTAGGTGAATGCCCTCCTGGGCCTTACCCACAGCCTCATTGTGGCCAAATCAGACATGCCCACCTGCAGCCTGACCCATTTCTGCCCAACAGAGTCCCACCTAGTCTCAAGTCCTCAGCTCATCCAGCCACCTCTCCCAGGGAAATGTTAAGGCTTTACCAAGCACCCCACCCCTGATTCTGACTGGGATTTAGGTTCCAGGCCCACCTCCAGGATAACTGTGGGTGGTCGTGCATAATTCCAGAAGTTGAAACGATTCCAAAAATAAGCAGTATTTGTGTCCTCGTAGTCCTGGGAGGTCTTCTCTAAGTCGATAGAGGCTCCTAGAGCAAAGAGAAGCCATCAGTCACCTACTCGAAGCTCCCATACTTCCAGGGAAGCATCTGTCTGAGGTCTACCTGTTGGACCAGTCCTGTGCACAGATCTGTGTCAATGTCTCAGTCTCTCCATATCGCTAAGTCTGTCTCTCAGTGTCTCTGGGTCTTACCCACAGAGCTCAGCGCGTAGTCTGGTTTCCTCACAAAGTCCTCATTCAGTCTCTGGAATACAAGCTTGGCCACTTTCTGAAAAAAGGGATGGCGGGGCCTCCAGGAGCTTGGGGCCTGATTTTTATGGGTAGGTGGAATGGTTCTCTAGGAATAGTTTCTCTGAGAAGGATTTTGTGGGGCCCCAGGGAAATCCCAAAGTCAGGGCCCTGGGCTGGGACTTTTAAAACTCAGGATTCAGATACCAGGCTCCTCTAGGGACTTCAAGGTAGGCCAGGAATGTGCAGTATACAGATCCACCTGGCCAGACACCAGGGGTGGACTCTGAACACCCTTGGGGCCCCAGCTCTGGGAGCAGGATCAGACCGCAGTTCACCTCGCTGTTGGCTGCACGGACGTTGGAGACCTCCTTGTGGAGTTTATCTAGCTCGACCTGGAGCTGCTGCAACTGCTGCCCCTGGGAGCGCACACGCTCGTGATACTCACTGCAGTGGGGATGTAGTACAGTGAGTTTGACTCCCTATCTCCCTGGACTCTTCCAGTATGGATCCCCACAGAAACACCTTTGAAGCCCCCAATTCCCCACCCCAGATGCCATTTTTCACCTTACAGTCAGCATCTCCTTAGGTTCCTATTGGAGGGAAGGACAAAATTCAGCGTTGCTATGATCCCAGCTACACCCTTTTCCCCACTTTAGTCTGGGAGCAGTAAGATTCAAAGGACCTTCTTTATGAGGATGTCCCTGCACTTTTCTCCCCTGAACTTCCACCAAAGATCTAGTCACCAAAGACCCTCATCCTGCTCTGGGCAAAATCCCTCTGAAATGCCCCGGCTATATGCAGCCCTTCTTTGGGACTATACCCTCTGTACTACCCAGCTCCCAGCAACCCAGGGTCCCTCACAAACCCCAGGTTCACAACCCGCCACCCACGCACCCCCAGGACAGTTTCTCAGACTCACATTCTCCAAAGGAGGCACCAGATACAGAAGCCCCCACCAGAGTACTGGAGAAAGAGTGGGGGAGGTCTTATGAAAAAGGCAGGGAGAGAATTCCCTGGCATCAAGGACAGTGAGGTAAGGAGACTTGAGGGGGTTGAGTCAAGAGGCTGTGATAGGGACTGGGGATCTAACCATTGAGTGGGATGTTGGAGAAAATGTGCTGACTTTGGCCAAAGCAGCCAGGGCTGGAGTATCTAGGATATTCACCACCCCCTCACCTGCCAGAAAGATGCTCAGCAGTGACACAGCCGTGATCAGGAAGCGGATGGAACAGACCTCCCTGAAGAACCGCAGGGAGGCTGAAGTCTCAAGACCTTAGTGATCCCCGCAGCCCCCAACCCAAGATCCCAGACCCAGCTCTTGTGAACGCAACTCAATCAGCTCAAGTCTCCTTCCATCCGGCCTTGCCTCCCACCACCTCCAAAGAGCGGGGCTCCCCGCCCTTCCCTCTGACCTGTACACACTGACCAGCACGTCTCCTACCAGGGATAACAACACGCTCGGCACCTGGAAAAGTAGGCCTGAGGAGAGGAGCGGGACTCAGGAAGGACACTACTCACTGGCACTGGCGCAGGGGGGAGATGAAGGGGCTCAGGGAGCCTGGTGTTCGAGGTTCAGAGGGGGCTCAGGGAGAGAGCGGGGTGGGCTGGGAGAATTAGAGGGGCACAAGGAAGAAAATGATTTAAGATTCCGAACGGGTCGGGCTTGGGGAAGGGGCTGGAAACTCAAACATGAGCGGGGAGAAAGGGGGGGGACGGTTTGCTCAGAAAAAAGAACAGGATCTAGATGATGAGAAGTGGAGTTCGGAGAAAGGAGTCGGAGGGTCAGAGGATCCGGGCTGGTCTGGGCCATACTCAGGAAGCTCTTGGACACTCGCGGGGGAGGCATCTCCTGTCTCAGATCCAGGGTTGAGAGAAGGTCGAGCTGTTCCTCGGAGACTACGGGAGAGCCAGCCGGTTCTGCGGGAGCCCAAGGGCTCCATTGGGGTCTTGCGCATCACAGGGCTACTCTTTCCCCGGCCCCGAATGCAGGCTCCCAGCCAGAGGCCGAGCAGCCTTTCACAGGTTTTGGAGTTGGGTACCCGAATCCTCATCCAGGGTCTCACTCCGCAATCTGAGGCTCCGCCCCTCACTGGAGCCCAGTCTGGGGGCTGTTCCCACCCCAAACCTGAGGCCCCGCCCACAGCCTTAGATCTTCCGGGTAGCGGCTCGAGTTAACACCAAGGCTGCACCTCTTCAGTGGTGCCCAATCACAAAACTTTCCTGCCCCCTCCAAGGACTAGCCAGGGGCCGAGCCCGGACGGAGGCATTGCCGCATTCTGACCCCCGCCCTTAAGGCCTGTTATTTAGTGCCTCTTCTCTTCACCATACAGCCCCGCCCCGAAGGTGACCGCACAGCGTTAACCCAGTTCCGCGCCAAGCCCCGCCCTTCAAAGCCCCGCCCCCTCCCTAGGCTCACCCGGGTTCGACCCCGCCCGCACCCGAGGCCCCGCCCCTCACGGTTGCGGCGCCACAGGCGGTCGGCCCATTGTGGCTCCGAGGCGCCGGCTTCTGCCGAGAGCTTCCAGCCCATGTGGTTCCTCCGGGCACTCCAGCACTCAAGGCGGGCTCACCGCAGCTCGAACCCCGGGCTCTTCTGCCCTCGGGCTCCACGGGCCCCGGCCCAGCTGACCGGTGCCCGCTGCTGTCCCCCGAGGTGACGCTCATTGAGCTGTTGCTGTTGTCGCTGTAGAAGTTGGGCGTGTGCTTTTGTGGAGACGCGGCCGAGCCCGGGCGGGGGCTCCGCCGCATCCTGACCCCGGGCCGCCCCCTCACGGACGCCAAAGTCGCCCCCCGCAACTGCCAAGGCCCTTGGCGCTTCCTCGACCGGCCAGGACCCAACGGAGCCTATGCGCGGCGGCGGTTCCCGCAGGTGGACCCAGCTCTCTCCCCAGTATCTAGACCCGGCTGCTAACGTCATAGAGGAGACCACGGCCCCCGCGGAATGCCCTGATCGGCGTCACACAGCTAGCCGTGACGTCTAGTTCTTTCTGAGAACACTACCTAAAACTGTACTCCGCTTGAAATAATTTCTACACCTCTTTTATGTCATTATTCCCTCCCACACTAAGCTGTAAACTATGAGGCCCAGGGATTTTTTGTTCTGTTCGCCACTGTATCCTCCAATACACAGGTCGCCTTAGCATGTAGAAGGTGCTCAAATATTTGTGAATGAATGAATGAATGTTATGGAGCAGGGCATCACCCAGGGTATTTCTGAAACAGTTACTCTCTTTGGCAGTGCAAATCCTCAGGCTCTTCCTCTAATCAGACCTCCAGGGAGGTCCCTCTCCCAGATCCATTTTCACCAGAGATGTGTGTGGGGTGAGAATTCACAAACCTACACTCAGACCAACATCTGAGTCATGGAAAACATTATAAAGAATCACAGTCAGTCATGAGACTAGTTTCCCAAACTCTTGCTGTGTATTCAGGTTGCAGGCACAGCTTGAGGTCCAATTTCAGGTGTAGATGGGACAGTCTGCATTTTTACCAGCCACATGCCAGATCCTGATTAAGAAGCACAATTTGAAAAGCAATGTGATATATTTTGTGCACATTACACAGCTAGGCAAAGGTTCAGAAAGGAAGAACTCTCCTGAGACTGTGCAGTGTGTTAAGTTTAGAATTCCAAAATTTTGCCCTTAAATCCAGTACTCTGCCACACACCATACTCTTTAGATTAGGAAGTGGAAGTGGCAGTTCTTACAGGGGTTGAGCCCTGTAAGATCTGTTCCCATCCAGGAGGATCTGTTCCCATCCAGAGTCTAAAGGGGTAGCATTAATTCCTTGCTTAATTTGATGCCACAGATCTCAGGGAGAGGAGGGAAAGGGAAGGATAGTAGAAGTATTCTTGCCCACAAAAATACATGAAACATATTAGTAAGAAGTGGGACAGAAGCTGGGTGGAGACATAGTGTAAATAAGGTAGAACTGTAAGAAATATGTTAAGGAAGACAATAAAGGAAGTATTGAAGGGGGTATAATTTTAGAAGAGAGGGGAACCCACTGTGTTATCAGTGATGTTGGTTCATGGGCCAGGAGGAAGGTGGCCACATGGATTTAGGATTCCGGGGAGGTCAGAATTTGGTCTGTTCAAGGACATCCTCACACCATCACAGATGGTTTCAGTGCCAAATCTGCCTCCATGTCTCCATTCTGTCTGCAGCCCCAGCCACCTCTCCATGCTAGTCTGGATGCTCAGGTACAGGGCTGTGTAGCCTGGGCCTGGATCCCTGCCCAGGATGTAACTTTCTTGGTGGTTGAGGAGAAATGGGACCAGGACTGTGGGAAGATCCAGTCTGCTGCTCACAATACAGAGGGCCCCAGGATGAGGGTGCCGAGACTGAAGTGGGGGGTGTACCCTCATAAGTCATAATGATATGGAGGCCAGTGGTTCCCAGTAGGAGCCCCCAAAAATTTTAAATATTTTTCTAATCATTTTAAAATGAAAATTATATTTTTAAATTAAACTGAATTTATAAGTATTTTCTAAATTTTTAACTACTATAAGTTTTTCAATTAAAATTCCAAAATATTTTACAATTTTCATTAAAGTGTACCCAGTTTTGGGAGTGTGGGGCTTGGGGTATAGGCAGTGACTTTGTAGGGACAGGAGGTATACAGAATGGGGATGTAAGGGTAATGGGGTATCAGATGGAGGGCAGGAGTAAGATGTAATGGTAAGGTACTGGGTGTAATCTCTGGATTAGGTAGCAGGGATATGGTCTAGTGATACAAAGAATAGGGCATGCCTTGTGGGAGGAGGGTTGCTGGTCTAGCCACGGTAACCAAAGAAGGGGTCTAACATATCTCCCTTCCACAACAGGTACCTGGAACAGCTGCCTGTGCCAAGCTAGAGCTCTTTCTTAGACTGAGGATGGGCAAGCAAGCCAAAACCCACACCTCAGCATTCCCCCTGGACCTGCTGTCTGAGCCCATAGTTGGGCTGCCCCATAGCCTATGCCAATATGGTGAGTAGAAGTCATTAGTAACAGCTAGCTGGGATTACTGCTTTGAAGAAAACTTGCCATGCATCCACTGATGCCTTAGCTGATAAGAGACAGGGCTTGAGTGATGTTAGGACTCACTGGATATGAATGGGGCAGAGGGCTGTCCTGCCACCAGCAAGATCAAGAGCTGGCATCAGATGGAGGAGCCACAGCTACTAAGGTGTCATACCCTCTGAGCCATTCACCTGTTGCTATGGCGCCAGCTCATGGCTGGTTCCTTCTCACCTTATCTGCTATGGCTCTGTCCTCCTACAACAGCTACATAATTGACTATTTCATTGACTCTTTGTCACCAATACTGAGAGTAGGCCTATCAATCAGAATGCTTGTTTGCACACTGAGTCTTGCTGATTTGCAGGCAGGTCTCCCAAGACTCTAGGATGGCTGTTGCCACCTCATCTCCCCATATTCACATTGTCATCTGGACAGTCTGGCTTGTACTGGGTGACTGTGGCCAGGGGTACAGGATACACCAATCAGACCCTTCCCTGGAGCCCAGGATGGGAGATGGATATCATAAACAACTGCAATGGTTCCTGGTTGAAAAGAAAAAAAAAACCAAAAAACAAACAAACAAAAAACACAAGGCTCACTATAGCCGGCAGTACTACCTCCAACTTATAGATGAGCATGGTACCCATATCAGATTAAATGACATGTCTAGTCAAGAGTTTGTAAATGACTACAATCAGAGCTGATCTCAGATCTGACTCCAGAGGCTCTGCTATCATGACCCGACTTTACCTTCTGCCCTCTCCCTCTCCCTGACACCAGACTTACATTGAACTTCAAGAGAAATGATAAGGTGACTGTTAATCTTCCCTGGTCTATGGAGTGGCAAGGCTCTGAGCTTGATTTTCCATGTGCACTGAGAGCTGCAATAGGAAGCCCTGATTAGGTCCAGAGCTGGGGGTCTAATATAGCCCTGCCCTGGCATGGCCCCTGCTACCTGCCCTTCCTGGTTTTCAGTTCTGCCTCCATTTAGGAGACCAAATAAGGCCCCAGCTGGATGACTCTTGTGTCAGCAGGGGCTGACGCGGAGCAAGGTCAGTAAGCATGTGGGGGTAGACTGAGCCTAGAGTGGCAGGGAGAGCCACTAGTGAAGTTCCAGCCTGTACCCAAGGCATAGAACCATGGGGGTCCAACACTCACAAGCCTGGAGGCCATCCATGGTGGCTCCAGGAAGTCAACCTGCAAAGGTCTGTCTCAGCCCTAAGGCTGAAACCAAAAAGCTGGAAGACCATAGGGGAGAATGTCCTGAGGACAGAGCTGTAGGCGGGACATCAGTCTGGTGTGAATAGAGCCAAGGGCCATCCATGTGGCCTGACCACCTTCAACTAGTGTCTGTGACAAGGAGCTGCTCTCAGGCTCCAGCCAGACCCAAAAACCACACAGAGACCAGCGACTACTATCACAATTAATAGATTTATCAACCTGGGGCTATGACCGACTCTCCAAGTAGGGGTTAGGGGCAGAGGCTAGAGAATGGAAATATGACCGCAAGGTCAAAGAGAGAACAGGAAAAAGAGGGAACAAAAGAGGGGGAAGGAGAAAACTACGTTGTCTTCCCTAGATCAATTTTCTTCTGGATGGCTCGAGCCGAGTGGTAGATGAGTGAATCGATGAGTCCAGCCACTGGGGAGAGAGATAAGGGCTGGCCCTGGTCAGCTGGGTCCTTGGCTTCATCTCTAGAGCCATGTGACCTAACTGGCCAGGCCAACATCTCCCTTGTACCCTTCCCCCAACCAGAACCCAGAAGCCCAGAATTTACACTCCCACCATGCCCCAATCCCATATAGACGCCCTGAGCTTCTAACCTGTGAACATGCCCCCGATGATAGCGCACACGCCTGTCAGGAAGTGTGTGAAGGACCTGCCAAAAGGGTGGGGGTGAGCAGGTACATGCCTCCCTGCAGGCCCAGGCTCCTCCATTTCCTCATCCTCACCTGTGCTTCTCTGTTAGCTTCACCATCATGGGCGAGAGCTCATATAGCACGAAGACTCCAGGCAGTCCCTGGTCACCCATCAGTCCATTGGCAACCTTCTCATGTCTGGTCACAGAGAACTGGTTTGTCCTCAGCACCTGGGAAGGGAGGGAAGCCTGGGCTGTGGCCAAGGTTTATGATATGGTTCCCTACTCCCCTCAGCCCTATTCCTGCTTTCCCCCGTCTTGTAGTGTCAAACTTGGGGAGCAGTAACAAGGCATCAACGCCCTCTCCCAGCCTCTGGTCATGGCTCTTTACAGTTTACACACCCCAGCAACATTTGATGGATCTTTATGTGGGAGTCCAGGAATGAGAAGGCTGAGGTGGCACCATGAACTCCTGGCAAAGCTGGGCCTGACTTCCTCCTCCCTTGAGTCCCAGCATCCTTGCATGCTACTGCATAGCAAGGCCACAGCAGAAAGGGGAGTAAGGGGCCCAAGTAGTGGACATCGGAGGAACGGATGGTAGCCGTGTGGAAAAGCAGGCCACACACTTAGAAATCCAAAGGCCAAGCCTGTACTCTGGCTGTGAGGGCAAATCACGTAATCATGTACCCTTATGGACCTCAGCTGGTCACCCATCGCATGAGAATCAGAGTAGCACTTCATTTCCTGATGAAGACTGATGTCTGAGCAACCTCAAACTCACCTCCCCATCTACCTTCATGTACACTGTGGGCACTACCTTCACAAAGTACTGGAACATCATGGAGGCTGCAAGGAAAAGAGAACACTGGGCATGGGTACTGGGCAGGGCTCTGGCACCTGGGGGCACCCTCCCAGACTGGTACCTTGGGGTGCAATGACATTGGTGCGATCAAGGGGGTTCACAATGCCTGGGTAGTCC